GCGCTGTCCGCCATCTTGAAGGTCAAGTTGTCAATGTAAACATACGTAGTTTTAACGATGTCCGGCAAAAAATCTTACTTGTCCTCACTTGATCGACCTTCAAAAGAGAGATATCTACAAAAAAAATAGCATCATAACAACATCGATCCTTATGAAGTACAAAACAAGGACTGGAGCCCAAATGTTAGCGATTTTCCGGCAGTCTCGTCTCGTGACATATCTCGTTCTAAAGTCAAATGCTTATGCATGTAAGCGATCTATATGAGCGTCTGAGTGTCTCCGTAATAATGGCTTGCAGTTGTCGCATATGGTCTGGTTTCACAGATCAATTCTAAAATACAGTCAACTCTACTATGAAGTATGTATTTCCTCCSTTCCAATCAAGCTCTTTCAGGTGTTTAGAAAAGGTTCACCGGAATTAATAGAATGCAAAAAGAATCTAATTTATGTACATTTTTATCKTTCTCGATAGCACACTTTCAAATCTTGTGACCCTTCATTGACACTTCTTCAATTTGATTGGCTAGAAACAGTCAGCTCACGCCTCGATGGACATATAGCATATGTTTATTCTATGATCGCATGAAGAATCACATCTCAGCGAATGTTTCCTAATTTTTGGTGAATTGTTGATTATGTCTTCTAGAACAGAGCAACAWACCACTAAAACGACTAGAACCACTTCAACCGTCCATGAACGGCGCGAATACACGGCGTACTGTGGCTGTTGCGACTGTTTGTGGATTATAGCGACCGTTGAAGGTTGGCTGAAGATACTACAATGGTTGTCCACCTTTCTTGCGTTTGTTATTCTCCTGGCGACGTTCAACGTTCCTATCGAATCCTACAAGGGATATCCAGAATATGGCTTTATGCTATTTGTCGGCATAACTTCTTGGGTCTTTGTCACCATTCATATCATCTTAAAACTACCCCATCTTTTAGAAAGATTGCCAATGTTTTTGCTTCATCCGATCGTTGGAATTGCGTGTTGTCTTCTGGGTGCTCTTTGCTTTCTCGTCGCTTCATCTGTTGTTCTTGCATATGCATATGGTAAAGGAGGCCTTGAAGCTTCTGCCGCGTGCGGCTATATTGCAATGTTCTTGTTTATTTTTGAAGCTCTCTACATCTTCTGTCGAGGAAGGCGCGCAACAAAGAGAGAGGAAACGAAGACAGTGGAGAGGGTTGAGAAAGGCACAGAACCGGCTGCAAAAGTTGATAAAAGAGAAGTTGAAAAAGAAAAACAGCCTGAAACTCTGCATGAATTTCCTAGATAAACGGACCTTATAATTAAGACATAAGAATGACTATTAAATTAGAGGAATAACAAGAAACTAAGACAGAAACACCGGCAGTTGACGGTCATGTCGGGATGACAGGTGAATCAAAAGTGAAACTGTTTACAAAGTCCATTCTGCGTATTACAGTGCTACTAATTCTATATCAAATGCACAGAAAACAAAAGGAGTATAATAATACAAAAGCTCAAAGCAGTATCGTGAGTAAATTAGCAACTTTTACACATTTCAATAAAAATTTGTCAGTATTAAAATAAATATGTACATGTATCGGTGACAATGCACTAAAGTCATAGTAAGGTGCACGTGTTAATTAATTAAGACTCGCGAGATAAAATTGCAAAAATACGTCAAATGTTTTTTTTTTGGCTAATCTCCTACTATGATCTCTATGTTCCCTATCAGAAATACAGCTTGCTTGCAGCCGTCTAATCTGGCAGCCTCTAGCTTTCGCAAAACGTTCTGACGAATTTTACCCTTTTCCTAAATAATAGGAGTAAGGTAGACAATAAAAAAAAAATGAAAATGTGATGATAACGCTGGTCTGTTTAGTGTGCGTGTTATTGTTGTTTGTTTGTTAGTTGTTGTTTGTTTGTTTGTTAGTTGTTGTTGTTTTTTGAATGGATCAGCGTTATTATAATTGCATTTCTTTTCTCTATGATTTTTCATTAAAATAAATATTAGGCTATTAGTTAGGTATTGAATGCAAAATGTAACCATATTTTAGATTCAGAATACGCTTCTGTGTAAATTTGTTTATGAAATAGTCGAAAATAGATATGAAATGTCAACACATAAAAGTATAAAAGGAATTACTTATGAAAGTGCTTACGAAATACAATGAAAGTATACATTCAGATACATTACTAATGACGAAAGAGTATAGAAAGGAAAAATATCATTGGAAAAAATCGCGCACTTTAAAGGTTGTAATTATGATGTAAATATAATGTAAGTGTCCAATGGAAATGATGTAAATTTGATGTAAATCATTCACAACCTTTAAAGTGCGCGGTTTTTTCCCAGTGTATCAGAGAGTTTTTTCATGATAAGTGGAAATCCTTGTCTCAATACTCCATAACTTTTGCCCCCTCCGCTGTTACATTGTTGCCATTGCATTGCTCCTCGATCGGGCCCAAACTACCTCGGAGAGCCTAGTGCTAGATGATTCTTCATCAGATGGTCGCGGTTGTGCGAGCGGCCTGTGGTTTTGCACCGAAGCGAGGCAGAAAGAAAAAAAAACAGTGAAAAAACGTTTTATTGTCATTTATCTTTTTGAAAAAAGCAAGTTTTTGTCGGTAAAATAGAAAGTTCAATTTGTCAAATTGCGGACAAACGTATTACGTAAGCGATATGATACGTAATCTCAGTGCTTGCGCGCCCAGAAAATGTAGCGCACCACACAACGCTTGAGTACTGTACTAATACGACTTCGAAAAATATAGACATGATTCTCAAGGCATTTTATGACCGCGAAATGCATTGCTGGTCTCAAACTCCATGTCAGCGTTAAAGGGCCGATGCTTTGTTACTTGACAACCAACAATGGTTATATTAAACGTACAGAAGTATATTTAATCATAATCATCATGAAATACCTGACAAAAACCTTTGACATTTTGCTGTATGCGTTTATTCATTCATTTACTGATTCATTTGTTTATTCATTTATCTTTTTATTTATTTTGATTCATTTATTTATTTTGTTTTGATTGATTGGTTTTTGTTTTCATATCAAAAGTGTATCATTGGTCTACCTGTGTTATCCTATCCGAGTAACAGTTCGCACCAGGAGCTTTTACAGAGTGAGCACTTTACTGAGTATACACCGCTTTCGAGCCTTTATTCAACCAACATGGCAACCAGAGAAGTCGTAGAGAAACGAGTTGAAAGAACAGTGGAAACTACCGCAAAGAAAGAAATCCACCGTCAAGTGGAGAGCAGGGTCTATCGCGTGTATTGTGGATGCTGTGACTTGCTATGGCCCGTAACGACAATCGAAGGCTGGTTTAAACTGTTAGAATTCATTACTTCCTTCCTATGTTTTGTCATTTTGTCGTCCTATCATGAAAGTGGCCGTCCTTATTTCGAATTCTTGATATTTGTGGGCACTACWGCTTGGATTTTCGTAATTTTACACATCTTCTTGAAAGTCACTCACATCTACGAAAAGTTGCCATACGTRCTCATTCAGCCATTGGTCGAGTTTGTGTTGCTTGGAGTTGGGATTTTCTCCTTTCTCCTCGCTTCTTCGGTGGCTTTTGGTTACGCATTTAACAGGGATGTTATTATAGCTGCAGCTGCATTTGGCTACATTACAATGGTGTTGTTCGCTGTGGAGTTAGTATGGAAGTTCCTACGTTACAGACGAAACCCGCCAGAAAGGGAGGCTCCAAGAACGGAAAATGTCAGGGCTGATGAGTTTGCCTATTAGCATTGAACATTAGACTAAAGTACMTCGTSCATGATCTGTCTTTTCGTGAGGTGTTTGGGAAAAACCGCAAACTAACCGCATTCATACCTCAAAAGAAAAGATTGTACTTGGCTTTGTATGATCGACGTGTCATCCAATCTGTCACATTTAGAGAACTTCYGGATCGAACAATTTTGTATGAGTTTCTATTCTAGTAACTACTTTTAGATTTTTGATAATCGTGGCATTAAAAGTAATCACACATAGTTATAATGTTTTGTACATTGCATATAAAAGACACACACCTATTTCTACAAAACGAAATTTTGCTACTTCCCAGACATAATGCAGCTTTTCTGACTCTAGTCAAATAGATACTCTTCTGATAATAAGTTGTACCACAACATAGGTGATTTTATTTCAAGCTTTGATACTGAAGAAGAGCTGAAACAATGTTTTTACTAGCACCATTTATGTATAGACTGCTTTCATAAGGGCCTACCATCAATTTTATACAATTGACAACATTATGAAAACATTCAGCACAATGATATGGAAGAACTATCAGAAATAGGTATATTTTCAGAAAGTTTTGAAGCTATTGACTAAATATGCTAATGAGGTTAAGGAGGATTTTGCCTCGCTTTGGTGCAAAACTACAGGCTTCTCAGGCAACTTGTTTTCTTACCACGAAAAGGGCCAGTCATGAGGTGTGTGTATTATGTGTGGGGAGGGGAGGGGAAGGGGTTTTGTTAGTTTTTTCCAGGTTGTTTTGTAGCCTCAGAATATCCCTTTCTAATATTTCAACAAATGGTAATTCTCAGTGTAAATGATGAACCCACTTACATAATGGTCTAATCACTATAGTAATGAGGTTATAACAAGAGACTACAAATTATATAGCTGTTTCAAAAAAGGTTGTCGGATAAAATGGCAAATGTCAATGGTCGAATGGGGATTGCACGACCGAAAGTAGCCATGGGTTTTGCCTGTTGAAAGACAATAAAAACTGATTTGTATTGTAAGATAGTCTGTCGTAAAAACTGGCTCCATTTAGTCTCCATTTCTATGTAAGGTGAATCCAATAAATAAAATTTTGTTTATCAAAACAGTGTAACCATAGTCCCTTTCGGTCGTGCAATCTCCCTTCAATATCGCCGTTCTCCCCAACAACGATTTTTGAAATAGCTGTATAAAGTGAAACTTTCTAGAGCAAGGACCAATGTGTATGTTCTCATCCTGTCCTWTAAGGCCCTATTTACACAAGATAGGGTACCACAGGGTAAATTGGGTCAAACTCCTTTGCTTTCTTTTCCTCAGAGAATTTTTAAAAAGTGACATGGTCCACCAGCTTTCAATGCGGTTCTGTTTTAATTTTTTCATATATGGAAAAATAAGGCGACTTCAAATATCAATTCTCAATCCTTTTCCATTCTTCAGTTTAAAGGTCAAATCTTGCAATATCTCCATAAAAAAAAAACAATTAAAATTGAAATTAAAATTGTAAAAACAATTAAAATTGAAGTTTTTTTGTGAAGTCTTTGGGATGTTATCGAATATCATGGCAGCCGCTAGCCACCCCCCCCCCCCCCCCCCCCCCCCCAAAAAAAAAAAAGAATCCCACTCTACGGTGCCTGAGGTCCTAAAATAAGGTCCCAACAAAGGCAGTATATACTTATATTTTTAGTAAAGAATACATGCTGTTGTTATACTTTCATTGAGAGTAAAAATCGTTTTTTTTAGTACATTACATTTAATCTAAAAATAGGGATGATTTAAAAGATGACATTTTTCTAAGAAGAGTAAATGAAGTCATCATGGAATTAMAATCAGATTTAGAAATATTTTGGCTATGATTTAAAAAAAATTCACACTTCTTTTCAGAGTTTTTGTATGATAGCACCGTAAAAATAATATGTTATAAATATTTGGCTTTGTCCACCCTATTTCCACTCCCCCACCCCTCCCTTACATAGGACAAGATTCGAGCGCCACAACGATCATAGTCACGAGGACAAGTTTTAACAAAAGTGACAAAATGGCTCCTGTCGACGAAGGCCAGCCAAGGGGCGAGGATAGAATCATTAATATAACGTTTGAATGGGCTAAGCAAGTACTTGGAATGCTCCTTATTGCTGAGCTTTTGACAACCTTTCTCTGTGGTTGCTGTGCCTCATCGTTGTCAACATGGGTTGGTTCTGGGTGTGCTGGAAAGATAGGTTTCCTCGATTTTGTTACTTGGACAGCTTTCCTAAATATCCTAATTGATATGATCATTCGTATTTTGGGTTTGTGGGAGCGTCTTCTGTGGATTTTCCGTCATCCAGTCGTCCATTTAGTTCTTTGTGGGCTGGCTGTTGCTGGGTTCTTGATCGCTTCATCTTTGGTAGCATCGTGCTCAAAGTAYGTCTACAACGGAGGAGCTGCCGTTGCCGCTGCTATTTTTGGGTTTATCTCGCTTATTCTGTTCGGTTTTGAAGCATTTTTGCACTTTAAAAGATACAGGAACATGGAGTCAGAGGGACGAAGGCAAACAGAAGAACATGGAAAGGCTGATATAATTTGAGTCGATATGACATGACAAAGATCAAAACTCTGACTGCTGTGTAAGGTTCTAACTTTAATAACGTTCTAAATTTTTGCATCAAACGTAAATGAACTTTTAAAAATTAAGTAGTAGATTAGATAAATGGAATACTTTACAAGTATGGAAATATGTCCTCTTTACCCAGTTTAAAAWAGCTTTTAAAAAAGCTTTGTAATGACGCTGCAACCATTTTGGTTGTCATCTTACTGCTTCTGACAGGTGTCACTCAAGTTATGTATCTGTGAACAATAGAATGTATAGGATTTTATACTTCTGCARCTTTTGTAGAAAACATATGTAAGTTGGAATCGTCTGAATATGAGACAATTTAAAACCACCTACAACATCACCTGAAACGATTTGCACAAAAGTTTTCAGTTTCAGTGATGCATATGATACTAAATGATCAGCATGATTTAAGTCGTTTTATGTTATAACCTTTAATGAATGATAAATGAACAATTAATGCTGCTGTATATTACGTGGCTGTGATTAAATTCTTTGTGAATTATTGTTTGTTCAGTAGTTTAAAACAGTTTTAGGTGGTTTCAGATCATTTTAGGTGGTTTCATGTGTTTCAGATGTGATTTCAGAGGTGATTCCAACTTTGAATACAAAACAAACTATCCAACTGACCTAGTGAACAAGTGCTCTACCATGATATTTATACTATCAAAATTAAATTTGTATGAAATTGTATACTAAATAGAAAATGATCAATATATGTCCAGCTGTACACAGGGTAGGATATGAGTCTGGAAAAAAAACTTTTTTCAACCCACTTCACTTTGGTATGGTAAGAAAACTTGCCAGAAAACAAGTGTTTTTATTATACTGGTGAAACTCTATAAGAAATTGCACAAAGTAAGCAATAGAAGACAAATAAGTTTGTATTTAGCTAGAACAGACCTTATTAATTAAAATTTTTCCCTATGGTAACTTGTGTTAGGTAAACCATGTATGTTTGCTTTCACTAACTTGTGCTTGACTCCTTTGTAACTGTCAGTATTCATTTAGATTCTAGAATCAGTTGTTTTGAAACATAATGCACCTTCAAAGAAATAATGGAAAACAAGGAACACTCAGAAACCTAGCGCGACGGGAGGGAGGTCCATATAACTCATAATTCTTGTTTTTTTTTTAATAAATAATTCTTTATTTTTTCTTTGGCAAAGTTATTAAAACTACCATAAATCTGATGCTGTAAATTTTCTGGGGGAGAATGTCCAGATYCCCCTAATAATAACTCTGTTAAAAATCGCCTAAATCAAGAAACGTGACGTGGCACCTGACATGCTAAAAATGCAAATGCTGAAGTGTTAATATAGTAATTGTCTCAGGAATGAGTAGATTGAACACATTCAATCTGTAAAGTAATATTGAACAACTAATTAAAACAGCACAAATTGACACTAAGTAAATCTACTGTAACTGAAGTTGAACATTTAGATATGATCTTTGTTAACACTATTTGCTAAATTGCACTATTCAAATAGGTTAGTACAATTTWASAGWWKRGTGMTYAMWYWTWMAYYCWWKMA